GAGAAATCAAGGTCAGCGGCATCCTTCCTCAGCATGTGATGGTCAAGTCGACCAAAATTACGCATCCATACCAAAGGGGGTTTAACTTTCGGTGGCCTTAATCGGTATTGCATGTAGATAAGATCGTGCTTTGAAAATCCAGGAGCAAGCAACTGACCATGACCAGCAACGAAGTCAGGAGAGGTTATGATTAAGTCAAGCTGTGTATCATTGGAAGAGGGGTTATGATGAGTAGGCTCAGATGGCAAGATTGAAAGGTTCACAGACTTGACAATATTAAGAAGCTTAGTGGATTGCGGAGTGTTAGACAGAAGATCCGTATTGAAGTCACCCATAATAGTCACACCAGTTACAAGTGTGGATATCGGTACTTCCAAGAAAGTGACATATGCGGATGTGTCTGCTGGATCACCCAGGGACTTCAGTAACCTGCAAGATAACGTGAACCCAGTTGTGGTGCCGGTGGAGGGAGAATGGCAGGAGGTTCGTAACCGTAGGAAACGGATCTCCTCGGTACGTTGCACTGCTGGTCCAGATGTGACGACACTTAAGGCAGTTGAGTACCGCAAATACATTCACCTTTGGAACATGGCGTCGGGGGTAGACGAGATACGAGCATATATGCAAATTCTGTGTCCGGGTAAAACCTGTACAGTCGAGGAGCTCAAGACTAAAGGAGAGTATAAATCTTACAAAATTGGTGTTCCACAAGAACTTTACGACAAATGTCTGTCTGCAGAGGTCTGGCCTGAAAATGCTCGAGTAAAGGCTTGGTTATTTCGGAAGCCGCAAAACAATACATCAGTCCACACGGAACGTCAAGCTTAAAGGAGTGCCGATTCTGACATTGAATCTTATATATCAGAATGTGATGTAGTTGCCATAACCGAATCATTCCTAACTGAAGCAGTCAATGATTCTGAGATATCGTGTGGTGGATGGACAGTGCTACGTCGAGACCGGGCAACTGGAGCGATGGGAGGTGGTGTCCTGGTGGTGGCGCGGCATGGACTTGAGCTGAAGCGTCATCGCAACTTGGAAACTACAAATGGGGAAGATTTATGGGTATCGTTTGTTGTGGATAGTGTTACAGTTAATTTGTGCGTAGTGTACATTCCCCCGGGATCTCCAGAAACAATATATATGCAATGGTTCCATGCTGTAGAATCTGCGATGAACACTGTAAAGGGATTAGTGCTCGTAGTTGGTGACTTAAATTTAAATCCATTGTATACACCAAAAAGTATTTTAAGTTATTATTGTTATTTTTTGACTGTATGTGGGTTAAAAGAGATGAATGAAGTGATGAATACATATGGTGGAAAGTTAGATGTGGTGTTGGTGTCAGAGTGCTTTTCAGGCACTTAAGTCAACGAAATGGAAAGTGTCGGAATGGTTTCAAGACGAGATGCGTATCACCCGCCGCTAGAAGTATCTGTGGATTATAATAGGAGACGGCTACCTGCTGATCGAATTGATCCTAGTAATGTGGACTTGCGACGGGATTGGAATTTCGGTAAAGGTAATTACGAATTGCTATGCCACTTAATCAAAGACGTAAGTTGGCGGGAAGTTCTAGATGCAGCACATATCAACAGTGCTGTTGAAAACTTTTATGACATAGTGTATTCTATTTTTGATATGTCTATACCTAAGAAGATTAGATCGGGGGGTTCCAGTAGAGGCTACCCAGTTTGGTTCACCGCAGACTTAATCAAGGACATAAAATGCAAAGGTCATTTACATCGAGAATGGAAGGCCACCAAAAGTAAAGTCATTTATAATGAGTTCGCTAGATTGAGATCTGCGGTGAAGAAACATATATCGTCCGCCTATGACCGTTACCTTTATCGAATCCAGGCTAGAATAAAGGACGACCCACGTGCTTTCTGGCAGCACTTGGACAGTCTGAAGTCAAGGTCAGGTTTCGCATCCCGCGTTACTTTTGAGGGGAGGGAGTATGCTGGTAGTGAGGTGGCTAGGGCGTTCTCGAATTTCTTCTCTAGTGTATTTTTGTCTGGTGTTCCCCGTCTGGACCCAGACTTTCCGAGAGACAGCAGTCAAAGTTGTAATGCCAACTATATTAACATTGCGTATATATCAATGGAGGAAATAGAGAAAGCAGTAAAGTGTCTTAAACCTAATTGTTCGGTAGGCCCTGATAATCTGCCTGCATATATTGTCAAAGGCTGTATAGACCAACTTAAAGTGCCAATACATTTTATGTTTAATTTGGCGCTATCATCAGGAGTATACCCGCACCAGTGGAAGCTCACGAGAGTCAGACCAATTCCGAAGACAAATGATACTGTCAATGTTGAGAATTACAGGCCTGTAGCGGTTCTTTCTACTCTGGCTAAGTTATTTGAATCGGTATTACATCGGGCCTTGTCTCCACAAATTAAACCTTTTTTGGGTGATTCACAGCATGGCTTCAGATTAAATCGCTCTGTCAACACAAACCTTTTGGTTTTGGTTGATATAATATCTGAACATTTAGATAGGGGAATTCAGGTTGACGTCCTCTATTTTGACTTTAAAAAGGCGTTCGATCGCGTAGATAATGAAGTGCTTCTAAACAAGCTGAATGGCATAGGCTTCTCCCCTAGAATGCTAAAAATTTTCTCAAGTTATTTGCGAAATCGGCAGCAGTATGTACGGCATGGATGCTACGTCTCTGCTCCATACCATACTCGTTCTGGTGTAAGTCAGGGTTCGGTATTGGGTCCACTCTTATTTAATTTAATGGTCAATGACTTAGAATTAGTTCTTAAGAGTGCCCGGTGTCTCCTTTATGCTGACGACCTTAAATTAGTGTATGGTGTGGAGCGGAGAGCGGACTATGAGTCGTTGCAAGACGACGTCAAAGCGGTTTTCCGGTGGAGTGTGGAAAACAAACTCCTTTTTAACCCTGATAAGTGTTTCGTTTGTACATTCAGCCGTGCACGAGCTCCTTTACATGTGCAGTACATGCTTGGGTCACAGCCAATTAATCGAGTCTTCTCAGTAAAGGATCTGGGGGTAGTCTTTGACCCGCGCCTCACTTTTCATGGCCATATAGAGACACTTGCTGCTAGTTGCTTTCGGAGACTTGGTTTTGTAATACGTAACGTTAGAGACTTTTGTGACACTGATGCTATTCGAATAGTCTATAATGCCTTAGTCAGAAGCAAGCTTGAGACATCGTCGCTTGTGTGGAATCCGCATGAAGCTAAATACACATCATTGTTAGAAAAAGTCCAGAAAGCTTTCCTTAGATTTCTAAATAAAAAAATTTACGGCTATTACCCGTACTTATATCCGACGAAATATTTATTAGGGACTCTCGGATATAATTCTCTGGAGGTGAGACGGAATTACAGCTTGCTGGTGTCTGTTTGTCAGGTTTTACGCGGAGAGGCGGATTGTCTTGAGTTGGTGGCTCAAACGGTAAAGCTAGCAGTTCCAGACGTCCCCAGAATAACACTCAGAGCGCGGCGACGTGATCTATTGGCGGTGCCGGCGGCACGTACTGTTTCACATAGAAACTCGCCTATTCACAGTGCCCTTACAATATTGAATAAACTCTTAGCATCAGCACCGGAGTGTGATATTTTTGCGTGGCGAAGGACGGCTGTGTATGGTGAATGCTTGAGATATTGTGAGATGATGGATGATAGGGAATCAACTGTTTTAATTTAAGTTATAATATGTTATCTAATGTTTGTTATCTTTAGTTCACATGGGGCATTGGTTTGTACTGTAAGGCCATGTGGATATATTTACAATAAATAAATAAATAAATAATTATGTGATGTCTGTAATTAGTGCAAAGTGGTTCAAGAACGGACTCAAGTTGCATGAAGTAATCTGCCGAAGGTGGACAATAGACTACACCCAGAACCGCTAGAGTACCCTTAACTGCAATCTCCAGGAAGATGTACTCTGCAGAACCAGAGTAGGCAGAGGAAGACGATAAAAGTAACTTAAAAGGAATGTCACTGCGCAAGTAGATGGCAACACCGCCGCCCCTCCTGCCAGTACGATCATTCCGGATTAGAGAATACCCAGACAGAGAAAAGGACTGAGAAGAAAGACAAGGTTTCAACCAACTTTCTGAAACCAAGATGGCGTGAATAGTAGAAGTTGGAGATGAGAAAGTTTCAAGGAAGTCAGTGTAGTGAGAGGGTATACTCTGTGCATTAATATGACAGACATTAAAACAATGAGGTATATTAAGTGAATTGTGCAGTAGGGTACTTAAAG